TTATTGCCATAATTTATTATTAGTGTGTTTTTTATTTTTATGGTGCCCACGTGTGCAGGTAATTCACTGCAGTGCACTTACGCCATCGGAAGGTGGGAAGGCTTAGTGAGCCTCACATCCAGCTCTGGGACGCGTTTCCAGCGTCAAACTTCCTCCCTTGGCTTCCAGGCAAATGGTTTTGGGGCAGCTCCAGGCAGTGCTGATGTGTTGAAGGGCGTTTTTTGGGGTGACTCAGCCCTGGGAGAGCTGTGCTGTTGCTTTTCAGCAAGGGGCAGGTGGTTCAGACCCTCTGCGTGCACCTGATCCTCTTCCCTCTGGAGGGAGGGATGTGAGTAACTCAAGCTCTTAAAAGGGCTGTGAGTTGCTGACTGTGAGATAAGCCAGATACAGAGGCAGATAAATGGGTTTCAAAGGAGGTTACTGCCTAAACAGAAACATCACAACAAATAGGATCGTCTCCCATCTCACACTCACGGCCACTAATAATTGCTGCTGGAGGAGCTCATCTGCCATGGCTATAAGGGCCTGGCTCTGCCAGGGCATGGGCACCCCTCATCTGGATTTTGGGAGTGCTCTGGGGGCTGGATCAGTGGCTCCCACCGTGGCGAGGAGGGTGATGGAGCGGTTACACCAAAGCTCATCCTCACAAAAAGGAGGTGCTGCATTTGGGGGGCTGCATTCAGCTTCTTAGGGGGAAGTTCTTTGCAGAAGTGATCAGACATCAGAATTTAAGTGACCAGACATTGGAATGGGCTGCCCAAGGAGGTGGTGGAGTACCCATCCCTGGGGGTGTTTAAGAAGACATTGGATGTGGCATCAGTGCCATGATCTGGGTGACAAGGTGGTGTTGGGTCAAATGTTGGCCTCGATGATCTCAGAGGTCTTTTCCAACCTGGTTGATTCTGTGACTCTGTGCTTTTGGTGCCTGATAGATGAGGAAACCCAGCTGAGATTACCAGTGAGCCTACACTGGGTTTACACTGAGAGTCCTGCCCACCCAGTGGGATCTGACCACTCGGTCCATCACCTCAAACATGGACCAGTCTTTGCAAAAGGTTATCACCTTCCCATGGTGCCATCAGACCTTCTGGGGTGAATCCTTCCAACTTCCTGCCTTTTTACTGCTCTGCAATATGTCTGCAGGATGTTTTCACGAGCCGAACGTTTGCCAGAAGTTCACAGATCAGTTACAAAACAGATGTACTTTTTTCTTTCTTCTTTTTTTTTTTTTTTTCCTCTCCCCTTCTTCCTACTGGTAAGGAAGAGTTTGTGCAGTAATTGCAGGCAGGTTGGGAGATGTTTTCTTCATAATTCTCCTTCTTATGAAATGTTTATGAAACACCTTCCACAAATCAGTTACGCAAGCAAGCTCAGGAGCTTTGATCATTTTCCATCACCCTCAATGTGTTTCTTAGTTTGTTTTGCTTTTTGTTTCTGTGTTTAGGCCAGAGATAGGTAAGAAACCATCCATCCTTGCCCAGGCCCAGCAGATGTTCAAGCCAACTACGGAAGGGACTCTCTCTCTACCCTGTCACCCTTCCTGTGTTTTTCACTCAGATTGCTCGGGGGCAGCTGACCCCGTTTTAAGGCTGTGAAAACATCCACTTGAGATTTGCAAGTGTGATTCCTTTCCTATCCTGGCGCTCCCGTGCCACCACCTGCCGTTACCTGCTCCAGAGGGAGCTGGAAGCGGCTCCCAGCCCTGCCTGGGGACTCCCCTCCGGCCCCAAAGGGAGGGTGAAGGTGTCTGTAAATTCACAGCCAACAGCCCAGGCCCCTTTCCTCACCTCCTGGCAGGGTGTGTTTGCAGGGCATTGCTTGGTCCTGTTCATTTTTCATGGGATCATGGAATGGTTGGCGTTGGAAGGGGCCTTAAAGATCATCTCGCTCCAATCTCCCATCCGCAGGCAGGGAACCTTCCCCTAAACCAGGTTGCTTTCCTTATATATTGTTATTTCCACAAATAATATTCAATGGGAGCGAACTTAGACCTGCTCTTGTTCCCCATTTCCCATCTGTCACATTGGTCATGTAAAACCCAAGTCCTGAGCGATCCCAGTGGGATCTAATCCCGGTTTTACTGAACCAACGTTGCTCACTCGAAGGTCTCACAGCTCTCATCGAATATCTACATGAGGTGATTCTGTGATGACTTCAACCTTTTTTTTTTGCAGTTCCCCAATGAAAACTCTTCCCAGATTTGCAGGCGTTTTCTCCAAATGCGAGGCACACGCACCGGGAAAAGAAGGAGGCAACTCCTCCCCTCGTTTGATTAATTTGAAATTCACATTATTTTATTACGGGAATCTCATGATATTGAGCGGCCTCGCCCACAATGTGTGTGGTTTTTTGGGGTTTTTGGGGTTGGTTTTTTGTTTTCCAGGCACAGTTGGTGATATTGCCGGTTTGGCCAGGGAAAAAAAAAAAAAAATCAAAAAAACCACGAAGGTGCGGGATTTGCATAAAACCATCCCAAAAGTTTTGGATATACCCCCAACTCCTGCTAAGGAACAATTAACCAGCTGCAGGCCTGGTGGGGAGAGGAAGAGGAGGGAGAGGTAAATTCGAGCCTAAACCCAATGGAAATAGGTGCAAAGGGGGGGTGGGGGGGGGAGAAGGATTTGTCAAGAACCCGCAGGTTCCCGCCCACTGCGCAGGAGGGAGCCAGAGAATTCCAGGGACGGGGGAAGGAGCAGTGGGAGATGTTGTTGTTTTTACATCGGGAACCGGTCCTTTGCCAAACCCACCTCCCGTTCCCATCTTGTGCGATGCCGGGGTGCAGCAACACACCCCTTTCTCCCTGGAACGAGTCCAGATCATCCCGCTTGGCAGCTGGAAAAATTGATTTCAGTTTGGAAATGGCTTGTGCTCCTTCAACACCCCGCTCCTATCGGGATCGGAACTCAGGCGGGACCCGGCGCCTTGTTCTCTGAGACCTGCAAGACTTCATTATTATTTTTCTGGGGACTGTTTTGTTCTTTGTTTTTTTGTTTTTTTTGTTTTTTTTTCTGGAGGACTACGTGGCATGAGGCGCACGCACACATGAACTGCAAGCGAAATTATTGATTTTTTTTAATTATTATTTATATTTTTTCCTTTTTTTTTCTTTTTTTTGGCTTTTTTTTTTCATACACCCTCAGAAAGGAAAACACCCATAAATCCCCTTGCCTGCAATGACTCAGGGGTAACGGTGTGTTCTCCTGAACCTTTTGTGTATCCTTCACTGATTTAGACACTATCACTTGATAGTGATCGAGAAGATCTTTCCATCTTTTTTTTTTTTTTTTTTTCCCACCGGGCTAAGAGGGAATGATCATGCCAACCTGAAAGGTAGGAAAGAGCTGGAATTCGCAGCGTGTCTGCCCCTTGTTGCAAGGAGCTGGGGTTATTGCAAAACTGGTTTCGGCGGTGGCCAGAGCTGTAGCTGTTAATGAAAGGGGGTGTTGAAATCACCTTCCCTTCCAAAATGCAGAGGTGAAGGTTGCAGCTCCCCGCTCTGGAGCTTCTTGTGATCCCGTTTTCCTCTCCTTTGGAGGTCGGTCAGAGAGGTTGGACTCGACGATCTCGGAGGTCTTTTCCGACCTCAGCGGTTCTGTGGCTTTGTTTGCTGTGGTCAGGTGGGGGAGAGGAGGAGAGGAACGTCCCCTGACCCAAAAGAGTCTCTTGGGATGTTGTTTTTAAGGCTGAAATTCTTGTCCCCCTCTGCTGGTGGGAGGTTGTAGGGCCTGAAGGCCCCATCAGTTGGACAAAGCCCCCTCCGAGGTGACCCTGCCCACCTCTGGTGGGGATGTGGGGCTTGGGAGTAATTTGGTGGGAGATGGAGAGGGTTAATCCTACCAGTGAGTGAGGGTCTGCAGTGCTGAGCCCACGGACAGGGGTTTCAAGACCTGTCCTTTCTGGTGTCCTCCTGGTTTTCCCAGTTTGTGGCATCTTAGAGGCTCTTGGATGGGACTCCTGGTCTGAGCCTTGTTCCTGGATTTGTCAGGCTTGAGAGGAACTTGAGCTGAAGTTTCCTTGACTCTTTCCTTAGTTAGAGTGTGTTCTAACAGCTCTGTAGGACTTCTCTGCCTCCTGTGCATAGACACTCCTCACACAGCTTTCAGGAATGAACCTAAAAACCTCTAAAATCTGCCTTCCCTCCTGTTCCAGTCAGTATTACTGAAGGATTTCAACAAGTACAAAGTGATGTAAGAGGTTATTATTATGATATTTCTAATAAATGTGTATTTTTAAATGTAGTAGCAGTGTTAGACATTAACATGGAGACTAAGGAATAAGCCAGAAACAAGGATTTGCTGTTGGTCCTTGGGCAAATTCATCTCTTAATAATGCTGACAGAGAAACTAAGATTATTTTTATTTGGCCTTGTAGACAAGAACCTTTCCTGAACATTCAAGTAGCTCAAAATGACCAATTAAATGACACCAATTAAATGAAGTTTTCCAGTTCTTTTTCCACAGCTTGTTGTAACTAAGGAAGGAGATTTTTTTTTTCCTTAAAACTTTTTGGTTTTTTTTTTTTTTTTTTTGGTAGAAGCGAAGCAAATGCTTTTGGTGCCTGGAGTGCTGCATTTTCTAGACTGGAAGATTACTCTGCTTTTTTTCTTTTTTTTTTTTTTTCCCCATCCCCTTGTACCATTCTCTGCTCCCTGAACCAAATGAGAGGCTCTCCACGACCAGCCCTGCCAAGGGGGGATCTGTCAGTCGTGATCTGTGAAGAGGAATTGCTTCTTGTCTTCATTATAACTCCACAAAACGCTTTCAGCCTTGCACTTGGTGGCTTCCTGAAGTGTTTCAACTGGTGTGTTTTAACTGAGCAAACTGCCCTAGGCTTGGCAGAGCAGGAGAACTCTGTCCCTGTGATGGGGAGCAGAGGTGGGAGATGATCCTGCCTTTCAGCCATGGAAGCAGCAGGTCCTGACCCTTAAATGTCCCTGAAAGGAGCCTCTTTTGGACCTCTCCCAGCCTAACTCTGCAATTGCTTTGCTCTTTCTTTTTCAGATTAAAACCGAAGACCTCAGCGACTCCTTGCAATCTGCCATCCCCCCAGGTCAGGTCACCTCGTGCAGGGATCATCAATGATGCCTGGAAGCCAAATTGCAGGGGTGAGTGGCTGGGCTGCTCCAGGGATCCACGAGACCTTTGCCAAAGCCCTGGGGACGCTGACACTTTTCCACCAGGCTGTGCCAGTAAAATTCAGCTTCCTCCTCAGCCTTTCTTCTCTGCAGGTGGATTCTAAAGTAGACTGGACACATCCTCGGATGGGATTTCCTCTGAGGGCTTGCTAAGCAGGCAAACCACACCATGGTCAGGAAATCCCTTGAATTGGAAATAGTTGGAGGCTGAGACAACACCAAGGGGGAGTGTCAGATGTGTTTGCTCTGCTCTTCCTCATTCATGGGTGCCTGCTAATGCCATTGTTGCAGATAACATTCTAGGCTAGATTAACTCTTAATCTCAACCAGTAGTTTGCCTCAAATTGATTTACACCAGAGAAGAAATTAATTCCTTGAGGGGAATTTTTTTTTTCCCCAGGTAAAAAGATTGGAGTTTAGCACTTAACTCTTGTTAAATTCTAGTAGGAGTTGGATGCCAGAAGGTCACACAAATGCTCAGCAATCTCTTCCCTTGTTCTTTCGTGGAGTATTCAGATCCATTATACAATTTAGGGACTCTTAAATTCCCCCCAAAATTTAAAACAGTGCTGTGGAAAAGCAGGCTCTGGGACAGTCTGCTGCAATTTGCTGTGTAATTTTAGGGAGTTCACTCCCTGAAAATGCATTATCTGGAAGAAACTGAAATCCAAGAGGTTTCGCTGCTCCTTCTTAACAACCAGGGCTTGATTGCCTCAAAAATGTCATTTCCAAGGAGGAATTTTTTTTTTTCAGGTAAAAAGCAGACAGTTCTCCACGTGTATGTGTGCACAGAATTCCTCTTACACAGCTGCAACCTTCAGACCCTGCAGTGCCTCTGGATCTGTGCCCTCAAATCACACACATCCAGTGTGTTGGCAGTTCAATGGAAGGTGTGAAGGGGGTCAAGAAGAGGAGATGTTTCAGCAGTTTTACTGTTCCCTTTGCTTTTTTTTCCCCTTAGGATATGAGCTCCCTCCACACCCTGCAGCAGCTTGTGTTGCTTCCTGGACACATGCAGTCAGTTCCCCAATTTCTTCTGTCCCAGTCTCAGGCAGGACAACAAGGTAAGAGCCACAAAAGCTGAAATGGGCATCGTTAGAAGCAGATAAATACCGAGGAGAAACATCTCTTCTCAAAGGGGTGTTGCTTTTAATCAACCTGTTGGGTTTTCCCAGCGTGTTCCCCCCCCGCCCGTGGTACCCGATGCTTCCCACCCATCCCGGGCTGTTCCCACGCCGGGGGATGATCCCAGATCCACGTGGAAGGGTCCAGCTCTGGAGATGCTCCTGGAACCTGCACCTTGTGCGCTCCAAGAGTGCCACCTTGGGGCCAGGCTGAATTCCCACCGGGAATTCAGGACACTGCCTGATTCCCAGCAACACAGCAAGGAGATGCTCCCTGGGGACAAATGCAGGCTTTGATCCATCACCCGACAGATACAAAGTGATTTAGGTCCTTGGCTCGTCTTCTTGATTTATTCCAGCACAGAGCTCACTCTGTGGGGACCAAAATTCAGAATGAAACCCTTAAATCTCTGCAGCTCAAACCCACTGGTACATACCCTGTACGTGGGCAAATGGGAATTTTATTTCCTACTGACAGCCCATAAACTCTTCTCTCTGCCAAATGATGCTGAGTGATGTGTAAAGAAACTACATGATGTGTATTTACCAAGAATCTTGAATATAGTTTGTTTGAAATCGGATCAGGGCAATCTGTTGCTTGCTGCCAGCTTTTATTCAGGTATAATAAGTATATTATACTTCAAAGCAGAACTTGCTGCCTTTTACAGATTAGAATTTCTTCTGTTCAGTGACTTTTTTTGGCAGCTTTAACTCCCCACAGATGGCCACTGGTTTGGCTGTGACTCCTTCCAGTTCCAGACTTGCTCAAGACTGGATTTTTTCTGGCCAGGAGCTGGGTTTCTGTGCAGGAGCACTTGCATTTGCATAAGTGATTGCCAGGTTTTAACGATCCTTTGCTGTGTCCATGCACAGCCAAGGGGGAGTGGAAGGGAAGGCACAGCTTGGTTTTGTAGAATTAGTTGTTTGGCACAGACACAGGAGGAGTTTTCTGCCTGCTGAAGAGATGCACAAAATATTCCTCGAGTTGTCCCTGGAGCCATCAGGGAACACCCTCAGAGTTCTGACTGATGGGCACCTCAGTCCATGGATTTTTATGGCCAAAGGGGCTCGTGGGCTCAGCCTTCCCAAGGATTTCAGTGTGGGTTTGCTGGTTTAAAGGTGGTTTTAGGGCAGAGAAACCCCCAGCTCTGGTTCCTCGTGGCCTGATGTGATTCCCCTGCGCAGCCCTGAGCTCCGTGCTCTGAAGGTGGGAATGAGCAGCCAGGGAGATGCTGGGAATACTGGCAGTCAAAATATTGCTGCTGAAGTCTTCATCTTGTGAAAACAGCCTCAAATCTCATCAGCTGTCAGACCGGTGATTCCTGAATCCAGCCCATAATTTTCATTTGAGCTCCAGCTTAGCTTTCACCAAGGTGTTCAATCATGATTTTAAAGACTCCAAATGACAGAGCATCTGCCATGTCCCTAGGCAAGCCATTCCTGTGATTAATTACCTGCTCTGTTAAAAATGTGCACCTCATTACCAGCCTGGATTTGAAATTCAAAGTTGTTCCAGCGTTAGGGAAGGCTTATTGAAACCCCAGCCTAAATAAATAAAGGGGACAGTGCACATTAAGAGCTAAATTCAACAAGGAAAAGGCAGAAAAAGAGAGAGGGGGAGAGATTGATCCTGGAGATTATCTGTTTTCCTATTTATTAGCAGAAGTCCATAAATTTCTATGGATTTCCCTGTAATTGTCAGTTAAAATCAATTAATTATATTGATTGTTTGTAGAGAGGTGATAAATCCTCTCTGCATTCCAGAGGTTTCACTCACAATGGACTTGATCCAAACTAAATTTCTGGGGAACTACACAACTTAGTCCTGTAGGACATTCCCTGTAAGAGATATGGGCTTGTACTTGGCAGTTTGTCAACCAAACAATTACACAGGCTCCATAAATACTAGTTTTTTGCTGGGTTTATAGATTTCCCTTCCTTTTTTCCCCTTCATCATTTTTGTGCCTGTCCATATATATTCCACAAGAAATTCAATTTATATGAAATACACTGGGGCAGAGAAGAAAGGGTCAGATGGCTTCAGAATGACACTTGAAAATGAAATGTATAATAGAAAGCAGAGTGGGAGGGCTCACGAGATTAACTGTGGGATCAGGGTTTTTTTTTTTAACGAGATCAAGTGGCTGAAAGTTGGGAGTCAGAAAAGCTTATGTTGGAAATAAGATGTACATTTTGTCTAACAGCTACAATGATTAAGCACTGGGAGAGATCACCACACAGGGTGGAGTGAATTCTCTGCTGCTTGGCCCCTAAAATCAAAGTTAGAGGTCTATAAAAAGCTCTGGTTCAGCCTTAGGGTGATGAGCTCCACGCAGGGATCAGCAGATGAGATATTTTACTTATATAATTATTGCAATAATCCCTTTCAGGCTAAAGAGCCATGAGAAGAACCTTTTCTTTCTCATATTCCAGCTCAGGACCAGGCACTTTGGTGATGGCTGAAATGCTTGTGTTTTGAGCAAGAACTGACTACTGGAGCTGAACACCCAGAGCTCCACGAGCCTTTCCTGGGCAGGGATGTCCAGCTGATGGAGGAGCTGCCCTGACCAGACGTGTCTCTCTTTTTCTCTCCTCAGCTTTGCAGCCAAACCTCCTCTCCTTCCCTCAGCAGCAGGGCAGCCTCCTCCTCTCCCAGCCAGGACCCAGCCTGGCATCACAGGTAACCCCCACCTGCAGGGTGCTGCTTCGTGGAGGGCAAAGGGCGCAGAAAATTGGGTGTTTTCCCGTCGTTGTCACCCTGAACATCCTTTTCTGGGGCTGTTTTCACAGGCTGTGGGTCGTTCTGGGCTCCCTGGCTCATCAGTTGAGCCCCACCTGGATGTCCCCCAGCATTTGCAAGTGGCAAAGCACCTGACTCCCTCAGGGGCATCAGAGGAGCCAAGTGACCTGGAGGAGCTGGAAAAGTTTGCCAAGACCTTCAAACAGAGGCGGATCAAGCTGGGGTTCACACAGGTGGGAGGGGTGGGGTGGCTTGTGGTTGGGGGACAGGTTGGGATGGTGGAAGGGCTGGGTTAGATACAGTTTGGCTCATTTTGCAGCATCCCCTTCCAAATACAGGAAGGGACAAACCCTTCCTAACACTTCATTACCTCGTGATCTGCACCTTCTCCAACAGATGGGGTGTGGGGCAGATCCCTGTGGGGAAAAAATGAAGCCACTTTCCCTGGCAAGGCAGGTCACGGAAACAAGGCCTGAGGGCAGGAATCTGTGAGGGGCTTTGCTGAGCTCATGGTGGGGTTTGGGTGTTCCCTGGCAGGGGGATGTTGGACTGGCCATGGGGAAGCTCTACGGCAACGACTTCAGCCAGACCACCATTTCCCGCTTCGAGGCCCTCAACCTCAGCTTCAAGAACATGTGCAAGCTCAAACCCTTGCTGGAGAAGTGGCTGAGCGATGCAGGTGGGTGACATTAGGTGCAGAAATGCCACCAAGGGCGAGAGGATCCATCCAGGAACCTCCGGGAAAAGGATAATCCCTTCAATCCCGCCCTGCGTAAACTGGAAGGAATGGGAAGGAGCTCGAGGTGCTCAGAGATCAGCCCAGGAGCTGTGATTTAGAAAAGGAAGATATCACTGGGAGGGGAAATCCCCAGTGGCAGCAGGACTGGCCTGGTGTCCTCTGTGGACTGATATTGACTAATTTATCCAAGTGGTTTAGCCAACATCTTTAACTGTGTGAAATTAAACCCCTGGAAAATCCCCATCAGGGCAGGCTGGACAAAGGAAAAGCAGTGTGTGGATTAAGATGTTAGCACTCCTCTTTCTTCCCTGATTTGGACAAGCTCAGTGATGGATCTGGGGCCGCTGGAGCAATTTTGATCTTCATCAGAGGAAGGATCTACAATGTGGGAACATTTTACATATTTTAGGAGGTGCCTTAATGCACAGAAAGGATCTGGGGATGGAAACAACTCATCATCTCCTTGAATATCTCTTTTTTTTTTTCTCTCCTTCTTTCCCTAGAATCTGCTCCTTTGGATTCTTCCATGAGCACCCCCAATTCCTACCCCTCAGTGAACGAGATGTTTGGACGGAAAAGGAAGAAGAGAACCAGCATCGAGACCAACATTCGCTCCACGCTGGAGAAGAGATTCCAAGATGTGAGGGCAAAATCTTCCCCTGTGTTGGGAACTCTCTCTGAGTTCAGTATTTTCCAGGCCGTGGTAGCACTGAATCCTCTTTAAAAAAAAAAAAAAATTAAAAAAAATAGGCATCTCTTTTGGTTTGGTTTGAAAGCAGGTTAGAAAATGCTTGAAGGGGTTACCAGGGAAAGCGTTAAAACCAAAGAAATTCCCCATTGTTTCCTTGGTAAATGTTGTTTTAAGGGAATTACAATTGTATCACCACATTTTCCCCATTATCACCCACCCAGCTGACCTCCTGCACCCACCTCTTCTCTTTTTGAGCTGCAGGTTTGTGTCACAGGAGCTCTGTGGCAGCTATTGTAAGCCCACAGTCGCTCCAAATACTGCAGCTGAAACCATTCAGAAGTGGAGCCTTCTGCTTTTTCAGCATCAGGAACGTCAAGGAAAATCACCACAGAAAGCAAACGGAGCTTTAATCAGCAGGACTAAATTGTGCATGGAAAATTTCTCATCAAAACTGTTTCTGATCAGCCCTTGTGGTTTTTTTTTTTTTTCCTTGGCTTCTCCCTCATATCAAAATTTGCTCAGCCACCCTCAGATCACTTTGGCACCTCATTTTCAGCTGGTAGAAGGCGTCCTTTGTGATGGGAACTGCTGCCTTGGCACCTCCGTGCCGGGAGTTTTTTTGACCTTGGAGTCTCCAACTGAGATCAAACCCCCACAGAGCTGAAACTGCTGTCAGAATGCACCAGGAAATAAATGAGTTGCTATCATTTCCCTCTGTAAACGAGGGATGGAGGAGGCAAGAGGAGCAGTGGCTTTTCTGAGATGGTGCACAACCAGCACTCAGAGCTGGCTGATAAGACCACCAGGCTTCAGGTGCCCCCCCCCCCAGCAATGATTTAGGGGCTGTTAAAGAGTGTGTGGGGCTTTGTGCAGTATCAGGGATGGGTGACCCACCCCACACGGATTCCCTGAGGCTTGCTGTCCAAGCTGGTTCACAGAACATGATCTCTCACTCAAATATTTACCCTTTATCTTAAGAGCAAGTTTTGTCCCCTCCCCAGTTCGCAGCCAACCCCGCCCTTGTCCTGCCAGCACCAGACACTGATGCTCTAAGGTGCAGCTCTCTGGGGCCTTCTTTAACCTCCTGCCTCTCTCAGCAGAACCCCAAGCCCAGTTCAGAGGAGATATCCTTGATAGCAGAGCAGCTCTCCATGGAAAAGGAGGTGGTTCGGGTCTGGTTCTGCAACCGGCGCCAGAAGGAAAAGCGGATCAGCTGCCCGATGCCATCCCCCATCAAATCACCCATCTACAACTCCAGACTGGTGAGACACTTGGGAGCAAGGAGTTCTGTGTGCCATCCCAGAAGAGGAGGGCAAAGGGTGTGGGGAGGCAGAAGGGTTTGCAGGAAAAGGGACGTTTCCTTTGTACACACACCCTGTATTCCCTGATCCCACTGTCCAGTGGGGAGATACACCTGCAGCAGTGCCCAGAGAGGCACCTGGGCTAGTCAGGGATTGGGCATGTAATCAGCATCCCAACTCAGGTGGAATCCCAGTCAGAACGTTTATTTTTTTATTCTATTATTGAAAACAGTAGGAAGAAAATGCAAGTTTCCCAGAAGGAACAGTTTAGTTTAATTGTAGGATCATTTATTTAAATAGGGGATGCTGTCCCAAAACTTTTCCCCCTGAGATTGGTAAGGAAAACCTTTCCAAAGCTAATGGAGGAGGCATCAGCATTCTGGAGTTTGAGACTTACATCCACTCCCATCAATTTAGTTGTTAACTCTGGAACATAATGACAACCATTTATGTATCAGTCTGTTGTTTTACATCTGTGCAGGAGCACAGAATACACTCAACTAGTGCTGGTTGTTCTTCTCTCATGTTGTACATTCACATTTTGGGCAAGTGCATTTTCACTGCCAGGGAGGATGGGGAAAAGATGAGGAAAATGTTGTGAGACCTGTTGAAAGCGTGTCCTTGTAATCCACTGTCAGTGGACAACGAGCTGCTGTTGCATTTCTGCCGGCTAATTTAGTAGTTGCTTGGTTGCTTTGACATTTAAAAGTGGCAGGAACCTCCCTGCAGAGATGTGTGAGTGGGAGGGAGAGTCTGTACTCACAGGCAACACTTTATCTTGAAAATCTTCTGGGCTTTGGAATTATCCATCAGAAGGCAGGAAAGCACCACAAGGAGTTGGGCCTGCCTTCAGCATCAAGGCTGAACAACAAACACCCCAGACCTGCTTGGGTTGCAGCTCCCAAATCACTGACTGAGAATTCTCACCCCTCCACAACCCCCTCAAGGCCATAATCAAGGGATTATTTGTGCCCAGGACCAGAGGGAGCTGGTAAGCTTCAGGCAGAACATCCAAAGGGCAGCCACTCCTGCAGCGGGGATCTTGGGACTTCTAGAAAATTTGGGCTTGACTTTGATCACTTCAGGCTTTTCCATGGCTGGTCCATGAGTTTAGATGGATGTAGAGGATGCCAGCAACATGTAAAACTAATTCTGGTTTCTTTTCGTGGCCCTGGGTATGGGAATGGTGCTTCTGCACTGGAGTGGGAAGAGAAATATCCATGATATAGGTGATAAGTGTGCCTGGGAGCCAGCACACTCCAAAGGGAATGGGAAAGGAGTGGCATTATGTGATTTATACACTCACAGTGCCAACTGCTGTCTGCTTCTGTCTCTCCCCAGGTCTCTACCTCAGGGTCCTTGGGGCCCCTCTCTGTCAATCCAGTGCACAGCACCATGCCTGGGACTGGTAAGCCTTGGGAATCCTGCCCTATCCACCTTCCTTCCCTCCTCCCTCTGCCCTTGCTCCCTGACTACTTGATTTCGGGGTCACCTTGGCAGGATACTCTTCATAAGACCCTTGGGTTTGGCCAGGGAAAGTATCCCCATATAACATGGGATAAGAGCAGCCAAGTCTTTTCTCTTGGCTGAGATAAAGAATTCCCAGGATAATCCCAGGCAAATTTTGGTGGGGTGTTGAGGTTTGGGAGCCAGACACACGTAGGAGCCAAGCAAGGGGAGTGCCTGGGGGAGATAGGTCAGGGTGTCAGATCTCCTCTGAGAAGGGAGGAATAGGGAGCAGTCCTGGGGTCCCCCAATTTCCCCCTGCAGGGCCAGGCAGTGAATCAGAGGGACAGCAGGACGTGGTGGGATCGTTTGGGCCTGGGCTGTCCTTGGCAGGAGGAGGAGACCCCAGCCTTACTGTGCTTTCTCACACGCAGTAACATCATCGTGTTCCCCAGGGAACTCCAGCAGGCCCTCGTCCCCTGGCAGTGCCCTCCATGCCAGCAGCCCCGGCACAGCCCAGAGCAACTCCAAAGCTGCCATGAACTCTTCTGGTTTCAACTCTTCAGGGTAAGGCAGAGCTCACCAGGGCACTGGGGAGGGCAGCACTGGGATATTTTGCTGTTTCTGCTTGGATAACCCCCTCCACAGCCAATTTTCTCTCCTGCAGTGCCACCCAGAGAGCTGTGCTGGGAGTGACTCTTTCACAGTGGCAGAACAGAGATTTTTTTTTTTATTATTTTATTTTTTTTAATGTTTTTTTTCCTCTGTCCTGCCTTCAGATGCTGCAAAAGCATCGAGGCAGACACGGGCTCAGAGCCCTCCTGGTTATTCACTGAAGGTGCCTGTGCTGCTCAGGGCTCTCTGCACTTGCAGCTTCTGCCCCATCACATCAGGGGTGGTGTGTGAGGAAGGAAACGGAGCAGAGGGTGGGATTTGAGTCATGGATCACCCTGTGCCTCCTCTTACATGGGGCAGGTCCAACAGCCAGGTAGCACATGGAGTCATGAAGATCTTACCTAGAAAGGCAGGGGGTTGCTGAGGGAGCAAAGGGTCGTTTGCCAAGTGAAGTAAGGTTAGAAATGGAATAATAAAGATTTTTATTTCAAGGGGGAAGCGTCACCAACTGTAGCTCTTGTTCCCTGTGTTGCAAACAGATCCTGGTACCGATGGAACCAACCTACCTACCTCCACTGAGACCACCCCTCCACCGTGTGTCAAAGGAGCTCTGACTCCGAGCCATGGACCAACTCCTCCAGGAACAATTCCTGGGGCAACACCCGGCCTTCCAGTGCCTTCCAAGTGCTGCCACGCGAAGGTCTTGTCCAAGGGAACCCCTTGGAGCAGCGGAACTCTCCAGGGACTCAAACTGCAGCCGCTTTCCCCCGAGGATTCCCAGCCCCACGAACGTTCCCTCCACGAGCGAGCCCTTGCTTAGCCCTGCCCGCATGTCACACACTGCCCTCTGCTTGCAAGCCTCTGCATCCTCGCTGGAACTGCCTGGCAGGCTCTAACCTGGAAGGATTTCTTGTGTCAGGACTCTCCTTTCTCCCCCTAAACCCCGTTCCCCACGAGGAGGGTCCCTCCTGCTGTTGCTGCCACGCACACACCCCACGAGCCCCAAACTGAGCCGAGGGTACCCAGTTCATTTCACCACAGACCTGTGTCCACACGTGGGCCTTGATTTTCCATAGATTTCCAAGGCCAACTCTGCTTTATCCACTTCCAAACTTGCTTTGCTTTGAGCCATTCTGCTCTTTCCAAAGGTGCTTTTTTTTTTTTTTCATTTCCCCCTTTTTTTCGTCCCCCCCCCTTTTTTTTATCCCCCCCCTTTTTTTTTCATTTCCCCTTTTTTTTCATTTCCCCCCCCCCTTTTTTTTTTTTTAATTAAGTATTTTAGAGCCTTCTTGGGTTTTTTTTTTCCCCCTTTTCAAAAACAACAAAATGAAACAAAAAAAAAATAATTGTCTTTTGCAACATTTGTGTCCAGGTCTTGTTATTGCTCCCAGATGCTGTTGGAAACCTCGGGTGAAATTCTGCCTAAAAGCAGTTTGTGTTGATTTGGTGGGACGAGGATGAGTCTTGACGTTCCCCATTTTGTTTTATTTTTATTTTTTTTTCCCCTTTAATTCATTCTTTGGGTTTTACCTGATACCAAACCCAACCTCTTTGGAGTTGAGGTGTTCTGCTCTTTCCTGAGTCTGTTCTCTGCTTTCCTGCTCCTGGGAGGACACGTTGCATTGCTCAGGTGTGAGCCTTGAGGTCGGTGTGTTCAGAATTCCATGAGATCCTAAAGTTTAGGAAACATCAACTTTCACGGCCTGTCACCAGGAAAATTTGGGTCACTTTGCAAACTTTTAATTTTCTTAAAGTAGGCTTGAGTCACACAAATTCCTGGGCAGGAAAGATGGGTACAAGTCATTAATTCAGTGGAACTAAAATAAATGAGTATCTGAGTCACAGACTGTAAATAGACATTTTTGAGTAGTACTAATTTTTTTTTTCTGATGGCTTTTTTTTAGGTAAATATGAGCTTTTTTTTTTTTCCTTTAAGTAAAAATGATCCTTTGTCACTGCTGGGGATCTGATCCCTTCTTTCTTATCCAACTCATCCAGTCCTATGTGATGAATTTGAGGGTCTGTGGACCTTAAAGAATTTATCAGCTGCTTTCACACAAAGTGTTGGGCCCTCCATGAACATTGTACATAGAATGTGTTGCTTTGAGTGAGGTTTTGCTATAGAAGCAGACACTGATAATAATGAGGACTGGACAAGATCAAGTAATATTTCTTGAAAAAAATTTTTTTAAATAGTAAACTAAGTTTTTATAAAAGAATTCTTACACAGAAAAGGGACAAACTGTATTTCTATTGCCTGGATTCCCCTCACTACTCATTTACCTCTAACTAAACCACTTTCATCATCTCTGTTTTTCAGTGGAAATGTTAAAATTCAATGAAACTTCCTCCCCCCCCCCAAAATCTCTCGTGACATTTTATGTTGGGAAAGCCAGAACTGTAGCTGGGTAGCGTTAATCCAACTCTCCTGATCGCTGTGGGCCCTTCTTTCTGCCATTAATTAAATCCCCTTACATGCTTGGAGGGTTCATTTCAAGCCTTGTTCTCTGTTGCTTTCCAATTGTATTTAGGAACGTGAAATGAGTTACTGGAATGTAATTGCTCCGAAGCTGAGCTGTCACAGGTTGGGGGCACGTGTGTGGGTGGGTTTTCTTGGGAGATTTCTGCAGCTTCTTATTGTCTCTCAACAGGGAGAAGTGTCTTCACCAGCCAGACTGACAGGAATTAAACGTGACAGATTTTTCACCCATGTGCTTTAATTATAGGATTCTTGAGGAGGGGGAAAAAAAAATTCTTCTCCACACAAGGGATCATCCCATCCCACCCCTTGCCATGGGAAGGGCCACCTTCCACCAGCCCAGGTTGCTCCCAGCCCCGTCCAGCCTGGCCTTGGACACTTCCAGGGATCCAGGGGCAGCTTTGTTACTGGGGAGAGAATTCAGGATGATACTGTATTTATACCATATTTTGAAGTCTTTTGCCTGATGAATTGTCATTTGTTTCACATCAGCAGATGAGTTAAGCTGTGGTGAGACTGAGGGATCTGTGCTGAGAGGGTGGAGGGTTGGAGAAGCAGAGATTTGGTTTAATAACTAAACCATGCCACTGTTCTATTGGTGGAGTTGGACAGAAGCTTTTCCAGAGCTGCTCTCCTGCTGAGAAGCAATTCCCATGGGAATGTTCACTGAGTGGGCTGCAAATCCATGAATCAAGTCAAGGGGATTTGGATTTTAAGCCAACTGCCCTGGCCAGGGATGGAAAAGAGGAGTGGCTGCCCGAGGCCCTGTAATTATAAAGACCTAAAGGAGCTGCCAGCTTTTTAGGCAATAATTTTCCAATCCTTATTCAAAGCCAGATCCATCTGGAAAAGATGCTCAAGTGGCATGGAGGCTTCTTGCTCCAGCCTCTCCCTCCTAGAGTAGAGACCTTCTTAAAATAAATACATGATGGGAACAACTGGATCATGGGCTAAGACAATCCCACTCTTTTTCTTTTTGGTAATTAATTTTGCCTATAAATAACAATTTAAAGATTAGCAGATAGGAAGAACAATGTAAACCCCTGACCTGTACCTTTGGGACGCTCTGTCTTGATGGTTTGACTTCCTGCATGACCTCAGACAAATGACTTAATCCCCTTTAGGCAGTGGTGATGATAATCCTTTCCTTCTCCCAGTCCTCCATTTGTGCTAAGTAGCAGAGTTCAGGAATGCTCAGCATTCCAGCTGATTTTCCTGCCAGCCATCAGAGAAGGCATTTCTATTAAACAGCAAAGCTCTACTTTCCAGCTCGTTTCCATCGTGAAAATCTCGAGTTATTTCACAGATTATAAGCAATTATTTAGAAGCTCAGAAGTGACCATTCTGATTGCCCTGATAACCTTTTCCTGCACACTTCATCCAGAAATTCCTGCATTAATCCTGTACCTGGTAGCTGAGCTGTAACTTGGTTCCTGACTTCAGAGTCAGTTGATTTAAACACTTGGGAAAGGCTCCCAGAGATTTGTGAGGCTCTTGATCAAAAGAGACCAAACCCAGAGTTGTTAAGGCAGTTATTTACAATATATATTAAATATATTACAGATATATATTTTTATGTGTTCTTAGAGCATAGAGAACATACACTGACATAAAATCTGGCTCTTAACTGGCAAGGACTATTCCATTCAGTTTTCATGAGTTCCTCCAAGTAATTTTCTCCCCCCACCAAAAAAAAAAGGCAGCACTGCATAGATTTTTGGAATACTATTTCTGAAAGCTGGGAGGGAAATTTCCAATGTGTTAAATGCTGGATAATGGCATGTGCACATTAGTATTGCTGTGAGATCAAAGCCAGGCCGTGCCAGGTGTTGTTCAAACACACCATGAGAGCTGATCTCCCCCACAAAGTTTATAAACACAGTGACAAACCTCCCGGATTTATTGATAAACTGGGCCTGGATGGGAAAACAAACACCAGCAGCTTGTTTGCTTCACAAAACCAACCAAACAAAAAAGCTCCAGTTGGAAGAGAAATATCTTCATCCCCCTGTCATCTAGGAATGCTTCCAGTCTCACAGGAGCATCAAAATAAACAGAGCAGGAAATTCCAGCTTTCCAAGAGTCTCCTCCTACAGCCACAGATAGCAACGAAAGATGTGCTATAAGAACTCCTGAGCAACCTGAGCTGCCACCAAGGCTGCTCTTGTGCCTGGACAGTCCCCAGCACAGAGAAACATCCTTTGGAGTGCAGCACACACAAGGGATCTCAGTGATGATGGGGGCTCTGAGGGGTTGGTTTCACTCCCAGCATGGAGCTCTGGATGTCGGGGAGGTTTGGCTTGTTCGGGACACACAACCTCAATTTTTACAGCAAATTGAGCAAACAGAAATGACGCCGTGTGAGCTGGCTGTGAGGGCTTGGAGGAAGCACAGCCCTCCCCTGGTTACTCACTCCTGCCTCTGCTGGGCTCAGCTCCTCGCTCACTCATCCTGTTCTGCGTGTTCTGTGTCACATCTCTCTGCTAATCGTGCGTCCAGCACCACTCCCCAGCTCGGCCCCGAGCTGCCCCAAACTCACCCAGCTCCCTCCTCGCAATCAGCACAGGTGGCCCCTGTCTGCCTCTGCTCTCAAAACTGGTACAAAAGTTGAAAGAGGATTCCAGGACACTCAAGAGGGAAAAAAAAAAAAAAAAAAAAAGGACAGCAGCCTGATCCGGCTTTATTCTCAGCTTTATCCTCCTCCATCACAGAAGGAAACGTCCAGCCCAAGTGAGGTCCGGGGCTCTCCGGGAGCGCCGCAGCGGGCAGGGCTGGGGCTGGGTGGAGGTACCAAACTCTTGTCCCTCTTTCCCCCGCCCCGTTCCCCCTTCCCTCCCCGCCCTGCCCCGGCGGCTCTGCTCTCTCCCAGCCCCAGGGGAGAGCCTCCGGGGTGGTAAAGCTGGGTAAAGCCCGCTCGCCTCCGGGGTGGGGAAAAGCGGGGCAGAGCGAGCGGGGATGCAGGGGGAGCATCCTCCGGGGATCCCGCGGGGGCCGGGCCGGGGCGGGCAGGGCAGGGCAGGGCAGGGCAGGGCAGGGCAGATAAAAGCCTCCGGGTGTGCCGGCACCGCCTCCCAGCCCCGGAGCGGGCGCAGGTCCCAGGCCAGCAGAGCCGCAGAGGGGCCGGTCCCGGCGGGGAGGCGGCAGCGACCGGACCGGGGTAAGGACCGGGAGGGTTCCGGGCTGTCGGGTAACCCCTGGCCCGTGCCGTGCTGGGGATGGGGGTCTGGTCCCCTCCGCGTGTCCTGGTCCCCGAGGGAGAGGGGCTGTCGGGGAGGACAGAGGTGCTTTGGCACCGGGAGGGCTGAGATTGTGGGGTTTGGCCAGTTGGTGCTAAAGGGGGGCTGGGAGAGAGCCGTGCTCAGGGGAGGGGGACGAGGCTCTTGGCTGCTTTTTTTGCTCGTATTTTGGGATTGGTTGGTTGGCTGGTTGTTTTTATTCCCCTCTCTGGGGTTTCCATGAACGTGCCGGGGTGGACACCGAGGTGGGCGGTGTGGATGAACACAGGGGTGTTGCTGCCCTCCTGACGCTCTCCCCCTGCGTCCAGCAGGATGGTTTCCATCGCTCTGGAGGTGACCTGCAGCTTTGTCACCTGGCTGTGTCTGTACCTCTGCCTCTGCCGCTGGAACAAGCACCGCTCCTACGAGTGGAGCTGCCGCCTGGTCACCCTCCTGCACGGGGTCATTGTCACCTGCCTCTCCGGTTACACTGCCCTCCTGGATGGCCCCTGGCCTCTGACCCATGCAGGTGTGTTTGGAGTCTCACCCGTGTCCTGTGTTCACCTGTAGTTCTGTCACAGGTGGAGGAAGGGGCTTTTGCCCTCCCTCTTCTGCTTTTGCTCTCCTCTTATGGGTGGTTTTGGGGTGTTTGGGGCAGGATTTTGTTGAATTCCCCTGCCCTTATCACTTCTTGCTATTCATCTTTTTGTTCTCTTTCCTTTTTTTTTTTTGGTTTATAGGGGTACATTAAAAATGTTCAGCTTGGCAGCTTGAGTTTATTGCAGCATTAGGTGTAGCAATGTTGAGAACAGACTAAGTGCTTTCACATCTTTAAGGGTGTAATAACTCCTGTCACTTGTCTCTGCAGTGTTTTGTTTGATGTTTTCTATCGTTAAATCTCAAATAGTTCTGCTGCTGGAGGTCTGACTTTCCATCCCCTGCTTTTTAAGAGGGTTGTGAGAGAAAAAGAGAAAAGCAGCAGTGTGGCAGGATGGGGTGTGAAGGGAAAGCAGGACCAGGCATCCCAGCTTCCAGCCTGGCCCATGGGATAAGGCTGGAAACTGAGGAGGAAAGGGGTAACTCCCAACCTGTACTGCTCCACAGTGTAGAAGAACATCTGAAATAGGCTTATCTTATGTGCATCTTTCATTTCAGGTTCACCAAACACACCTCTCCAGACCCACGTGCTGTCCCTGACCTTGGGCTACTTCATCTTCGACCTGGGCTGGTGCCTGTATTTCCAGACAGAGGGGGCCTGATGCTGTTCCACCACACCCTGAGCATCTGTGGCATGGTCCTGGTGCTGGGGCTGGGCAAATCCGCCACGGAAGTCAACGCTGTTGTGTTTGTCAGCGAGATCACCAACCCCCTGCTCCAGGCGCGCTGGTTCCTGCGGGAAACGGGCCGGTACCACACCTTCCTGGGAGAGCTGGTGGATTCCCTCTTTGTGGTGCTCTTCCTGGCGCTCAGGATGGCGGGAGGAGCCTGCATCATGCGTGCCATGGTGGTGTCCCCCCACCCCAGCTGGCTCCTCAAGGCTGGGGGCCTGGCCATGTACGTGGTGTCTCTGGGGTTCATGGTTGAAATCTGCCGCTTTGTCAGGAGGAAAATGGTGAAGAAGCGCCTTTCCTGGACGCGCCTGAGGAGTGGGAATGGACCTGTGAGAACTAATGGGCACGTGGCTGCTCACTGATGGCTTGTGGAGGACAATCCCCTGGGCTACTGGAGCTTATTCCTGTGAAAAGAGCCCCTAAAATGACTTTCTGGCGCTGGTTTGCTACCCTTGGAAGGAGATGGATCAGCACGAGGAATGTGGGAAAGCTGGGAAAAGAGGGATTTGAGTGGAAACCAGAGGAACCTGCCACTGATTCCCTGACTTCTGCAGCAATGGCACAGCCTCGAGGAGGGTGGCAATGCCAGACCTGTTCAGTCTGCAGCCAGCAATGGCACAGTCTGTGTGTTCTGTCGTCGTTTCTGAAGTTAGAATTGTTTTACAGCGCAGAGAAAATCAAACATGGAAAATCCAGCCTTCCTGCCAGTGGGGATGGGTAGGGGTGTGACCTGGCAAAGATTTGCTGAGCCTCACTCTCCTTAATCCTGGATTTGGACATTGTGCTCGAATGAAAGCCTCAGAACCAGACTGAAGTGCTTTCAGGGGTGTAGTGGAGTCGTCCTTTGAGTGTGTGGAGTGATGGTACTTGAGGTGAGGCAATGTTTTACCTCGTTGTTTTTAATGATACGTTTCCTTTTCTTTTTTTTTTAATACTGGCATTCAAGCAGATACTGATCTTAGAGCAGTGTGACTTCACTGGGTCTGGCTCAGGCCCCTGCAAACAAGAGTCAGGAATCAGACTCCTGCCAATAAACTCCATAAGCAGGTGTTCTCCTGGCCTTGGGTTGCTTGAAAACAATAATCAGGCTGTTTGTGGGTGAGAGAGGATAGAGAAGAGCCCCCCCTGGATGCTCTTTCTGTCCTGGGGTTGGATCGTTTACAAGCCACTAAAGCTGAATTCACGGCTAGTGAGTCAAATATGTGACAATTTTCAGGGGTGACAGTCACGATAAGACAGAGCTCAGTGTAACATCTGCTCCACACCAGCAGGCCTTGGACCATGGACTAGTTCTCTTGCTTTCTTTACCTCTCAGAATCATGTTCTGACATTTTCCCCTGGGGTTTTAATGTGAATTTCCCTCTGTTTGAGGCTGCAGATGAGATTTACTCTCCTATAAAAGCCTGGCTGGGAGCTGAGAAACAAATGGCCCTGTGTTGCCTGCAGGCTTAGCAGGGCTGGTTGCTGCTCTCCAAGAGTTTAGGGGAGGTTCTTCATGGAGCTGGAGAGCCCCTGAAACTGCCTGTGAGGGTGTTGCTGGAGTGAGGTGTCAGTGAGGGGAAGGAAGGAAGTTCCTCCATCCCCTTATCTCACTCATTTTGGTGTTTTTCAGGGCAGATATCAGCCTTGGCTGGGGGTTGGAATAAGGTGTTTGGAGAGATTAAAAAATGACCTGAAATAACCTCGCTTTTGACTGGCAAGTTACTGGGCCAAAATGTTTAGGGAAGCAGGAGCCTTGCCCTCCAGCTGGGCTGGCTCTGGGGGCCTGAGGTACGGACTCCGTGCTCTTCCAAAAACTCCTATGAGCGATGAGACTCCTAATAAAATGATGTTCTCTTTTTAAAAAGACATGGTTGCTGCAGTGTTCTTTTTCCTGGGTCTTAAGGAGGCCACTGAAGTTAAGGAAGTGAGGCAAAGAGGCTGGAGGGAATTTAAAGTACCACTGGTTGGTGCAGCTCAGGAAGGGGTGAGCTGGTGAGGAAACGAGCTCAGACTGAGCCACGTGCTCTGCAGGTCAGGCTCGAGGTGTGAAGGGCAGGTGAGGGGCAGCTGAAGCTCAGATTTGTGACTAATGGACCCATAACCTGCCTTGCCAATGAGTCAGCACTGCAGGGAACTTAAGGACGGGCCATTAAACTGAGGTGTTTGCTCCCGATGGACACAAGGTCATGGGGTAACTTAAATTCTGGCCATGCTCTCAGCATCCCCTCAGATTTATTTACTTGCATTTTAAAGGATGTGATTCTTAACAGAGGTGCCTGGTTTTTAATCTGTCAAATATCCATGAGAGATAAATATCCTTGTGATTTTACAGTCCCAGGGAGGTTGGAGCTGCACTAACTGGGGCAGCAGAGTGCAGACAACTGTTTGCAGAGGTTTCCTGCCCTGAGCTGTTTTGCTGAACTCTGTTCATCTGCAGGCAAAACGAGCCAGTGCAACACAGCCCATTGAAATGGCTGAGTCCGCACAAAGCAAACAGGAAAATTGGTGTAAAAGCTGCACCTCACTTCTGGTACAATCCACTGGGAGGTGATTTAGCTTTGCACCTCACGATGCAGATTTTGCACATTGTGTGACCTAGAAAATAAAAACGCACAGTTTCTCTGTATTTCGGCCTCCTGCATTAAATCTGTAAGTCTGTGCCTTGTGTGAACATCTCTGTTTTTCTTCCTGGCTGGTCAGTCAAAATCCATAGAATCATAGAACATTTTGGGTTGGAAGGGAGCTTAATTATCATCTTGTTCCACCTCCTGCCATGGGCAGGGACACCTTCCACTAGCCCAGGTTGCTCAGAGCTCCATCCAACCTGGCCTTAAACACTTCCAGAGATGGGGTAGCCACAGCTTCTCTGGGCAACCTGTGCCAGGGCCTCCCCACCCTCACAGGGAAGAATTTTTTCCTAATATCTAAACCTGCTCCCTTTCAGTTTTCTGTCTGTAAACACTTTTATTTTTTTTTTAAATCCTGAGCTAAATATTAGAACAGCTCCATCTCAAGGGTTACTGAGGCTGTTGGAGGGGGGCTGGTCCAGCAAAGGTGGAGGAAACTAAGATGAGACCTAAGATTTGTCAGAGAAGCAAATGCACTATTAATAGTCATGAGGATGTGCTGAAATAGCAGAGGGATGAGCATCTTGTAGCAATAGGAATCTGCAGCTGGCCTGAACTGGAAAAGTAAGATCTCTATCTTGTTGAATATCCAGCTGAAAACATTTACTAATAAGTGCTGTAAGAGGCAGGTCAAGCCACTCCCACCCTCTGTGTTTTAAAAGGTAAAACTTGGCAGGACGGAGGAAAAACCAAACCATTATTTGGGGTGTGAGAGCTTGTTTTAAATGCAGTGTATGACAGGAGTCGGTGTGTTGGCTGGAGGAGGTTTTGTAGCTATTTTGGATGTCCTGCATTTTGCTGCTCTGTGGATGTAGAGGGCAGGCCAGGGAATGGTGAGCACCGAGTGGGAACAGCGAGAAGAAATTGCTAGGCTTTGTAACTGCTGCATAAGCACTGGATGGAGGGGGATGTTCGGGGCAGGGCTGTGTGCTCTCCCAGCCTGGCTGGATGATAAACCCTGCAGGGCACGTCACCTTGAACCCGGTGTGACACAGCTTTGGGAGCTCTGGAGGAGAGCCTGGGTGTGTGAGTAAAGCCAGCCCAGGGTGTGCTTTGTGCCCGTTCACCCCGCGGGGGTGATGGAGCCGGGTGGGGGATGCGTGGGGCTCTGTGTGCCCCGTGGGAGCAGGGCTGCGGGGATGGGGAAAGGTCTGGGAGGGGTCTTGCTGCCGTCTTGCCGTCCCTCCTCCGGCCCTGCCATCCCCGTTCCAGCGCTCTCCCGCGCCCTCCATCCCTGCGGTCCCTCCTCCCCGCCGCCAGGTGCCCCTCGGCCGCTGCCTCTGCGGGCGCGGCGGGGGCGGCCCCGGCTCCGCGGCCCTGCGCGGGGAAGGGAAGGCTCCGCACCCTGTCCCCGGACCTTTCGTGAGCCGGGAGGAGCCCAGCCAGGCCGGGAGGAACCGGGCGATGGGAATAAGGTGGGGCGGGGAGCCCTCCGGGCTGGGGGGGAGCGGCTGCATCCCCGGCGGGGAAGGGGAGGGATGCGGGATGCGGGATGGGGCCGGCGATGGGGCTGTGCCCCTGGGATGCGGTTTGTTCTCTCTGGATTCTGATCTCTGGGCTCCTCCATTTTATTGCTTGTACTAAGAAAAAAAGAAAAAAAAAAAAAAGGAAATAACGGTGCTTTGCGGGAGGCGCCCATCTGGCTTTCCCGTGTAATTTTTAAGCTCTTCCGGGCTGTTCTGCACTAGGTTTTTAGGCGCATGTGTTTATTGTAGAGCCTTTCTTTCGGGACCACGTTGTTACTGGTAATACAAATAATAATATATATGACATACAATAATATACGTAATGATACATATATAATATAATAATATACATAATATATAATAATATAATATAAATAGCTAAAGATATATATTATATACTCTAGATATTATTATTGTATTTAGATATGGTGTATTATTGTATTTAGAGATTATTAATATATTTAGATAATATTAAGATAATATTAATATATTATATTAATATACTACTTAGATAATATTAATATATTATTTTTGTATGTGATGTGTTTATATATATGTTTATTTTTATAAATTTATAGTATATAATTATTTATGATTATATAATTATTGGTGGCTTTGAAATGACATTGGCCTGTCTGGCATCCAGGCACAGACATAATGCACGGGTGCAATATGTGTTATATATGCTAAGGACACATAACAAAACAGTTTGGGTTGGAAGGATCTTAAAAATCAACTCATTCCACCCTTCCTAGTAGAGGGGATATCTTCCACTAGCCCAGGTTGCTCCAAGCCCTATCCAGCCTGGCCTTGGACACATCCAGGGATGGGACAGCCACAGCTTCTCTGGGCAACCTGTGCCAGGGCCTCCTCACGTTCCCAGGGAAAAATTTCTCCCTAATATCTAATTTAATCCTACTCTCTGTCAATTTAAAAGCCATTAACTGTTGAGCTTTGATGTGCAGTTGGAAGACACTCCTACTTCTTTCTTTCCAGGGGATAGAGAAGTATCTTTTTTCCTGAGTAGGTGTGGAGAACACCTCAAAATGTTTAAAAGCTTGTTCCTCTTCCTTTTCCCAGCCTTCTCCAGCTGGTCAGTCCCTTTTGTCACATGAGAATTCTTCCTGCCTCATCTGCCCTGACTCTGGACCTCGAGTACCAGGGATGTGAATGGAAACTCCTGGTCAGAGCGGTTAATCACATCCTTATTTCACCTCCCATGTTCCCAAGGCCCATTAAAACATAATGGTTTTGTTTACTCAGCCTCCAGTCATTGCTGGGAATACCTCAGCAGGCCAAACAGGAAAGCTGGGCTTTGCAGCTCTGACTCCTCATCACGTGAAGTCTCTTTGGTGTGAGCCTGGGTGTGAGGCCAGAGTTGGGCAGCAGGTACCACTGGTGCTTCTGCTGCTGTTGCACAACTGGAAACTCCTGTACCCCAAAGCATGACTCAACTTCTTCTCATGCTCTTCCCTGAATGCTCTGGAGCGATGAGACATATCTTGTGTTTCACAGGAAGGTGTTATAAATGGGAGTGAGGTGTAGATGTTTGATTATTACATAACTGGGGGGGGGCTTTTAGCACCCAGAGCAGCACCCACAGTTGTCTATGCACTGTGATTTTATTCTGGTAGTGTGTTTTTTGCTTGTTTGAGAGATTTGGTATTGCACAGTAAGGGAAGATGTATAAAAGAAATACTGCTGGAAAAAAATCTTTATGGGCATAGATTCTAATTCTTCTGAATCAAAAAGATGTGGAGCTCTTGGTGCCATTAAAGACAAAATGAAGTGAGGAGAGTAAAGTGGTTTTCACCTTGTCTTGACACTTGCAGACCTTCTGGTCCACTGTGTGTTTCTGATCCGTTCTGTGTCCCTGTCCCCCTGACAGGATGCTGTTCCCCCTGCCCCTGAGGGTGGCCTGCAGTCTGCTGGGCTGGTTCTCCCTCTACAAGTGGTTCTGCCACCGCTACAGGCACCGGAATTCCGAGTGGAGCTGCAGGCTGGTCACCCTGACCCATGGCATCCTTGCCACCTGTCTCTCTGCTTACATTGGCTTTATTGATGGGCCCTGGCCTTTGAGCCACCCAGGTGAGTGATGGAAGCTGTGATCCCAAGTCCCTCCATGGGTCAGGGCAATGAGGGGCTCTCCCACCACCAGCCCGCTCGAGGAGTGGTGGCTGCAGTGGCATCTGAGCTGCTCTGTGATGGGAAGCACCAGAGAAATGGGGAGGCTGGCACTGCATTTTGCTTGTGTGCTGGCCCTCCCCAGCTGCAGTCTGGCAGGGCCTGTGGTCACGCTGCGTGGCCATTACGTGTGTGCAGCTGTGGGACTGACAACCGTGGCATTGTGACCTGGGGGGGGGACTTCCCTGGCCAGGCTGCGACCGGTACAAGCCAACACCCACTTCCTTATCTCAGATCCCGCTGGGTGCCTTAAAGCTCTTTGTGTCCCTTGTGCTCCAGGATCACCCAACACGACCCTTCAGGTGCACGGGCTGTGCCTTAGCTTGGGCTACTTCCTCTTCGACCTGTGCTGGTGCGTGTACTTCCAGACGGAGGGTGCCCTGATGCTGGCCCACCACCTGGTGAGCATCGTGGGCATCGCGGCCTCGCTGGCCCTGGGCGAGTCGGCCGCCGACGTCAACGCCGTGATCTTCGGCAGCGAGATCACCAACCCGCTGCTGCAGGCCCGCTGGTTCCTCAAGGAGACGGGCTCCTACCACACCCTGGCGGGCGACCTGGTGGATTTCTGCTTCGTGCTCCTGTTCACCGGCGTGCGCATCGGGATGGGCGCCTGGCTGATGTACTGCGAGCTGGCCTCGCCCCGGCCCCGCTGGTACATCAAGCTGGGGGGGGTCGTCATGTACGCCGTGTCCTGGGTGTTCATGCTCAGCATCTGCCGCTTCGCCAGGAGGAAGAGCATGAAGAAGTACCGGGCGTGGAGGAGCCGGAGGGGCGGCGAGCTGTGCCTGAAAACCAACGGGCACCTGAAGACCCACTGAGGGCGGTGCTGGGGAAGGACTTCCTCGAGTCCACGCTGCCTGAGGTCGGGAGAGGAGCCAGCACACGTTAGCAGTCCTGGAGACAGATTCATCCCTGGTGCAGCTCCACTGAAATCCGTGGAGCTGTGCCGTGGATTCGTTGGGGCAGCAGCGTTTGGCCTGGCGGGGGCTGGGTGAGCACACGCTGGGTGGCACGAGGGAAAGAAGGGCTAATTTTATATACTGACCATTAACTAGTCCAGCAGTGCAGGTGTAGATAGTGGTGTGAGTAGAAAACTCCTTCAGCACCGGTAGAACCTTGGAGAGGAGAGGAGGAGGTAACAGTAGGTCTTCATGTTCAGTGTCCTGTGCAGTGTAGGCAGCTAGGAGTGTTCATACTGGTAGGAAGAAGCATGTTCTAGTGTTGCATCAAATTCCTGGCTCTTCCACCAACTCCCTGTGTGACCTTGGGCAAGTCACATAACTCTAACTCTGTGCCTAATTCCCCATCTCTGTGACTTGGGGGTGATGGAGCTGATCCATCTGTGTTATGCACTTTCAGATTTTTCCTTGAGAGGTGCTACGTAAATGCAGAGTGATGGTTGTTACCTGCACTTCGTTCATTATCCCGGTGTTCCCTTTGGGAGAAACGGCTTTGGTGGTTGAGCTGGAGTGTGACTCTAGAAAAATCAATATTTTAGGTAGGTTGTTGTTTCCTACCCTTTCTAGTTCCTTTTAATAACTTATTTATTAACATATTGATAACTTATTTTTCTGTAGTGTCCAGAAGCTCTAATCAGCACTGGAGCCTTACAGGACTAGAGGTGCTCTGTGAATACACCCAAAGACACAGCCCCTGATGGGAAATGCTTTTATAACTTCTCCCTCTTCATCCCTGACTGTTAAAACTCCACCCATCCCCTACAAAACACTCCTTTTAGCTCCTTGAGTGACTCTCTGTTGTGAGAAGCCCCATCAGGACTTGCCAGTGAGGGGTTTTCTGGCTGATTTGTCTGCAGAACACCACAATTCCCTCTGCTGTGACCTGATCTTGGCTCTCCTTCATCTGAATTGATGCCTTGACCTCTGGGCTTTGAATTCACTTTGTCTCCCTCACTGGATCTGTGTCACTTTATAAAACGAGCATTTATAGGCTCAGGGAGACTTATTTTACAACTTGATAATTAAAGAAGCAGAGAGGCACAGAATGTGGCCTTTTTTAATCAAAAAAAAAAAAAAAAAAAGTGAGCCTGACTGGGAGAAAAAAATAATCATTACTTATCTGGTCCCATTTGCAGGGAAAAATTATCCCCAGTTGGCAGCTTCTGGTGTTTGTTCCACTGCATATTCTTCAGCTGTTCCTTTGTTGTTGCTGTCATTATTAGGATCATTTCATCTGAGCCTCAGCACCAGCTCTCCAGTGCAGCTCAGGGCCTGAGCCTCCCCTGCTGCAGCCAAAGACCTGGAGAGCCCAAAAAAAAAGCCCTTCAGGTGAGCAGAGCCAAGTGGGGAGCTGGTCCTGAAAAGGAACCTTGGCTCATCCAGCACTACTGAGCCTTGAAGGGGGACAAGAAGGAAGGGCTTGTTGGGGCTTGCTGGTTCTTTCCCAGCTCTCCTGAGCGTGTCAAGGAGCCTTTTTTTGGCCTCAGCTTACCCACTTTCTGCAGTGGGTACAGCATTACCTACCTCGTGGGGTGTTTCCATTTGGCACCGAGCCCCCTTTGATGAATGTTGGGTGGTTTGTGCTGCGTAAAAGCAAAATGCTGGTGCTTTGAGCCAAGCACTTCTCGCTGTGACCCATCAGCAGCACTTCTGTCAGCTGGACATGGCACTTCCCAGCATCTGCTTGCCTCCCAGGAGCCGAGTCCGAGGTGTTTTGTGAAGGTGCTTTGTGGGCAGGAGCCAAAGGGACTAAAGCACGTGCTGCTTCTGGTTCACATGGACCCCCCTCCGAGGCTGAAGGAAGGATGTCTGGTGGGTTTTCCCTGGCAAGGATTGTGGTAAATCTGGAGCCAGAAGAGTTTTCAGCAGCTGGCCTGACCAGGGAAAGGGGCTTTCAGCAGCAAGGCCTGAAGTGAGGTAGGTGAGAACAGCCTGCTTGTTTCTCAGTGCAGCTGTTGGACTTGCCCACCAAGAAGAGCTTCCTGAGCAGCCCTGGTATTTTGGGCTCTGAGGTTTGGTGTGCAGTTTGTTGGTGGTTACCTGGACATCCCACACCTGCCCAGGGGAACGAGGACGCCACTGACTGCAGGTACCTGTGAAACACCTTGTGTGGAGATGTTTGGAATTACAGTGGTCCCCCTTTCTTTGAGCTGGGGGGGAACTTGGTTGGAAGGAGAACATGGATCAGTGGCTTCAGAAGTTAAACAAAGGGCACCAGCAAACAAAAGGGCAGTTAGGAACAGCACAGACTCACACTCCCAGAAGTACAACTCCCAAGCTGTGGAGCACAGGGTGGGACCTGTCCTCAGGCTAGTCCATAGTGGCTAGAGCAAACTGTGAGAGGAAACTGCAGAGCTAGCGTGGAATAATAACTTGTGTTTGAATTACTGTGTAATAGCAACTAATGTTCCACCAGTGAATGGTGTAGATGCTTTGTATTATGTTTTATAAAATAAAGATTATTTAATTATACGAGGATATCTTTTTGGACGCTGTTCCTAAGTTGCACTGTGGATTTTGGATGTGAGTAAATGAGCAAAGGGATGGTCAGTGGGTGCTTTTTTTTTCACAACTACTTGTGCAGCTTTCAGCATTATGGCTTCTGGGGCATGTTAGCATTGTTCTCTGCAAGGTTGTCTGAGGAGCACTCAGTTAAACTTTTGGGATGAATTTCTTCATGGAAAGGGCTGCCCAGGGAGGTGGTGGGGTCCCCATCCCTGGAGGTGTTGAAGGAGCTCTGGGCTGTGATTGATTCAGGGGTGGACTCGATGATCTTGGAGGTCTTTTCCAACCTCAGTGATTCCGTGGTTCTGCGTGTGATTCAGTTATGCAGAGCAAAAAATGTTCCCTTTGTTTTCCATGCTAAGGGACAAGGTTCTCCTGTGTTTCCACAGCATGACCTCTCCTCATTCATAAATATTGTTGCCTAGGAATTGCTTCACTGGGAAGCCTGCTAGGAAGAGGGTGTGTTTTAGCACTATTTAATGTTTAACTTAATTTAACATTGCCTTGTGTGGGGGTACCTGCAGCTGCAGAGATGAGCCTGTGTCAGCACTGTGCAGAGGTGCAGCTTTAATCAGGGCTCTGAGTGGTGCTGGTTTGTCTCTGCTGTGGTGTTTTTGCTCCTGTACTGAGGATCTGCCTCTGTTCAGAGGCAGAGAGGCACTGCAGGCAGTGCAGCTGCTGGGAGCTGGGTATATCATGTTGTGTTCATGCCCCAGAGCTCCCTGGGCAGGGCTGTCCTGATGTGGTGAAGGAAATGGGAGCTGCCAGGAGGATGTGCAGGGCTCAGGGGCTTCTTTTGCCCTTGGTGCAGCAGCTGAGCCCTGGGAAAGCCACCAACACCCACAACAGCTTCGTCAAGTCACTTGGAAAGTTGTGCGCTTCTTTTAAAAGATCTGCTTCAGGGGCTGCTCCTAAAATTAGAGGGGAGGAAAACACTTCTTTCTCAGTGATGCTGAAGAGACCTGGGCACCACCAAGCATTTCTGTGAGCCAGGCACTGGATAAATCCAGAAGGGAAGGAGGGTCCTGTCCTGTACCAGCAGCTCTGCACCTCTGTGTAACCGAGGAAAGGCCTGTAGTGTGCTGGTAAAGAACAGCCACTCTGCTTGCTTGTGGCCACAGCGTTTTGCCAGGGATCCAGTGTGCCAAAAGTCTGCTTTCTATAAATAGTTAAGCCAATTTAGCTGTTTGCATGTAACCCTTGCATCGGGCTCGAAATCCTCCGGCGCTGGGGAAGCAGCTGCTGAGCCCTCTGGAGCTGCTGAGCCCTCTGGAGCTACTGGTTTGTTTACAACACACAGGCAGCCCTGGGAGTGGGAGGAAAAGGGGTCTCAGGGACCACAAGAATTTATGCTGGGAGTTTGTTTAACCCCTGGGGTAGCCCAGGAGCAGAGAGGAAAGCACAGCAGCATTCTGAAGCTTCGCTTTAGAGCTGCAAGCGTCCTCCAGGTTTGATGTCTTCAGGAAGGACGTGCCAGAACGTAGCCTTAAGTCAGTGGACAGATGTGCTTTGACTGTAGACTGAAATCTGCCCCCCTACACCCAATTAATTTAATTTTTTTATTGTCCTGTTATTTCTTTAAAGCTTTTCCTGCTGCTTACCTACTGGCCCTGCAGTAGAGCTTTATAAAATTAACCTCTTCTTTCAGTCCCCTGCCCTCTTTTTGTAGCTGAACTCCTTATTTGTGTTTGAAGAAATTGCAATTTTTTGATATTCATGGCTTTATTCCCTTGCAGCAATAGTCCAAGTACTGATGTAAAAGCATTCTAAGTCTTTGAAATCTGCTATTACACTGATAACAGTGCTGTCAGCAGGTCTTTCTTGGACAAAAAAGATGAAGGAATGGTTTAAGCTTCATGGTGATATTCTTGACATTTGCAGATTTTGTATAGTCTGGAAATAAAATAACATGGAGTCTTCTATGTCCAAAGAAATCAAATTTCAGTGAGGGAGAGAGAATCTTTCAGCTCTGGCTTTGTGTTCCTTAAGCAATTTCTGGGCAAGGAGCAACTCTTTTTCAGTTATACCAATGAACCAGCTCTCTCCAAGTCAGCTTCAGTAAGTGCTCTAATAAATCTGTCTAAGAGAAGGTGTTTGATTTACCCTGTTTCCCTCAGGTTCCAGGGGCAGCTTGGCAGCTGATAAGTTGGCAGCATAAGGGATCTTTAGAAAATTAATGAGGAAAACTGAATAGATCAAGGTATATGGAAAAGCTTTTGTGAAGTCAAGAGTGGTTTACAGGTAATTCATTTTGAATGAGAAGGAGAAAGTGTCAGGTTCTGCAGCTTCTTAAGTGCTACAAACCACAGGTTTTCAGCAATATTTGTGTTTTGCTGTTTGAATTGTGTCAGAAGGTTAAGATCTGTTCAGTGTAACAATCCTCGAATGTGATGAGAAATTACATCCTCCATCTCTTTAGATTTTACCCCGTTAACAAACACCTCTTTGTTTTTAATCCCCCCTCCAGTCAGAGGGTGTTGATTCCAGCAGAGAGTGAGATGGAACCTCCTGACAGAACGTGCAGCAGCTTCATCAGTCCTCACAGAGGTGGCTGCTTTCTTTATGCTGATATGGAAAGAAAGCTTAGTGCTATAAAAATGCTTCCTGCAACGTGGATTAGCCAGGTTTAGGAACTGTAGTAAGCTGTCCCAGTGGAAGCTCTGATAGATTAGTCTATCTGTGTCTCCAGAGAGGCAGCAAAGCACTGCATTTGTGTCCCAAGTGGCCTAAAAGGGACCAGCCCTGGGTGGCATTTCCAGCAGCTCCAGGGAACTGGGTGCAGGACAAGCTGCCTGTGTGTAGGTGGTAAATGGGGTGCTTGTTTTGAGGTGTGAAAAGGCTGTGAAGGTGCACAGGAGTGTGGAGCCCAGCACGGATTGCTGGGTGTTTTGTCAGGTTAAGAGTTACATCCAGATATGGAAGTGGCCGCTGGATCCAGCAGCTGTTGGTGCTTGAGGTGAGTTTGGCTGGGTGGAATCACAGTCACTGAGGCAGGAAGGTTTGACCATGCCAAGCTTGAGAGCAGAGCCAGGCTTATCCCCAATCCTGACCCGAGATCAAGGTCCTCTCTGTTCTTCAGGAGTTGTGAGTTCATATGCACAGCTGGGAAATGAACTGTCTTCTCTGTAAGCCTTGGGGATAATTTCCCTCCTCTTGTGCAAGGTGGAAAGGTTGGCTGCTGCCTTCCAAAAGCAGCAGAACAGGAGCTGGCCCAGCAATTTATGGTGAGTTTAAATAACAGTCCAAAATACTGGTGCATTCTATCAGTGGCTTTAAATTGATGACTTGTAAGCAGCAAAAGAGACTTTATCTCCTTGATTTTTATGATGGGGCTCAGCAAAGCTCAGCTGATCATCATGTCTGACTTAGCATATAATTTTACAAAGCTTTCTGTTATTTTCTTTATTTGTTATATTCTTTTGTTTACTGTTCTGTACTTTACTCCTTTACTATTTACTTTCTCTACTTTCTACCCTATTCTTTACTTGAGGTCTGCAGGAGCCCCGTTGCACACACAGGTAAGTTGCTCTCATGTCTGGTTATCCCACCTGAAACGCGAAGGGAGATTTTCCTGAAGGAAAAAGGGTCACATGCAGTTAAAATTCACAGTTAAAATTTGAATTATCGCCTTTTGCTGGTTTCTGTGGCTTTCTGTGCTGAACCCACAGCGGTGCAAACCCCCCAGGGAGCATCACAGGTATTACAGGGCTTGGAAATGCTCCGTTCCGAAGGGGAACGAGGGTGTGATTGGGAGCTCACCCTTTACCTGCTGGGAAGTTCAGGTTGGAGGAGCCATTCGAGGCTTTCCCAGCAGATGGCAACAGCTCCTCGGCGCGAGGCTGGAAAAGTGGGATTAGGCAAAAGGATCCTCAGTAAACACTGTGTCTATAAACCTGCCTTTGCAGGAGCCCCTAAAAGGCACCTCCGAGGATCTGTCCTCTGCTTTAGGGCAAAATAAATTATGCTCCATAGGAGCCATCCGTTTTTGCTCCAGGGTTCTCCTCACTTGATCCCCTTAGCTCCGCTTTGGACTGAAAAATGGACTTTTGGGGACATTGGTGCTGTGCCCTGGAGACTGAGGAGGTGAATCAAAGAAACACAGAATGGTTTGGGTTGGAAGGGACCTTAAAGATCATCTTGTTCCAACCCCCATGCCACGGGATGGTGCTCTATGGTAAATTCAGCACAAGTGACAACTTCAGAGCTACCAAAAAAAAAGTATCTGTTGTAGTTGGTACAGTGTAATTGGTTATTGATTTCCCCACCCCATATTTTATGCTGTAAAAATGCCCAGGCAGAATTATCATAAATAGGCATCCATCTTAACCTAAGTATGCAGTCAGCTCCCACCATAAAAAAAATAGCATTTGCAGAAAAGAGAAGCAGTTATGGTTTCAGTATCTATGTCTTAGGATTTCCTCCAGCTAACTGTTGTTCTCATTATGTTGTCATGCACAATAAAAGATAATTAAAGGAATAAAGGAGCATCGAGGCCCAACACGCTGGGCCTGCCATGAATCAGAAGGTCTCCTGGGAGCCTTCCCTTCTCCAGGCACAGAACTTGATGTTCCCAAAGTTAAAAGCAGGGAGGGATTTGTTGCAGGGAAGATGCAATAGGGGGATATATAATAAATAAATACAGATATATGGAGGTATTCAGTCACTCCATCACCACTGTGGTGCACAGCTGCAGAATCAGAGGCAGACGTGGCTGCTTGTCTAGCACTCCCACACTTTTTTCTTTTTTTTTTTCCCCCCAAGCCTGCATTTTCCTCAAAAGGAAACCAAAAAAGGAAGTATAAATGTCCTGCGTGTATATATGTCAAGTATCATGTAGAAAATGATTTCATCCCACGCTTCCCCTCTTTGCTCTGAACTTCATCAAAACAACAAATTCTTCAGACTCCCAGACAGTCTGCTGGCTTCCTGATCCACGCTCGCTTCGCTCCGAAGCAGGAAAAGGCTCCGTGTTCCAGAGCAGCAGCAGCAGCCTGGATTTAGCTTCAGGCAAGGTATGGTCCTGTGTGCTTAGGGAGGGATCTGCTCCTGAGTTTCCAAAGCCTGTTTTCCAGGCTCTTTCCAAGTCCAGTGTCCTGGCTTTGAAGTATATGACGGTAAGATTAATTAAAGGGAAGGAGGATGGTGTTCCTGGATGATTGGGATTAGCTAATAAGGTTATTTTAGTCTGCTGGCATTTGGTAGGAAAGACTGATGTTCCACCAGTTCCTCTGTGCAGGGAGGGCAGGAATTACTGCCCACCCTCCCTGGTAGAGAAACCATCCTGATTTCCACTGGACTTCTGTGGTGCTCGTGAGCTTTAATTCCTGGAGGAGAAGCGTGGAAGGTTCCTGAAGTTAGAGCATGTAGATGTTATTTCTGGGTGCTTGAGAACAAGTTGCTTGCAGTGACAGGACGAGGAGAAGTGGCTTCACACTGACAGAGTAGGTTTAGACTGGACATTAGGAAAAATATCTTTACTGGGAGGCCCTGGCACAGGTTGCCCAGAGAAGCTGTGGCTGCCCCATCCCTGGAAGTGTCCAAGGCCAGGTTGGATGGGGCTTGGAGCAACCTGGGCTGGTGGAAGGTGTCCCTGCCCATGGCAGGGGTTGGAATGAGAAGATATTTAAGGTCCCTTCCAAGCCAAACCATTGGGATTCTGTGTAAGCTGAGACAGGCATTTCTCTCTAAACCAGTGTTGTGCATGGCCTAAACAGCAGGGAGAGACAGCCGTGCACCAGCAAGGATGTGTTTGTGCTGAGCAGAGGGAAATCCACACCTGCTGAAATTTCAATGTCCAAATAAGCCTTTTTGCTTATTTTTTTCATATTGTGTTTGTTTGTTTGTTTACATGAAGAGGAGCAGGAACTTGGTTCAGTGTTTCTGGAAGGCTGAGGTATGTGCAGGCAGGGACCAGTTCTTAGATTTATGTTGACCTTCACCTGTGAGAAAAATTCCTAATGAAATGTGTGTGGAAATGCAGGGAACCATGCGGAGCCATGAAAGGTTTTGGAGCAAACAGCACAGGCGTTGGTGACTCTTTGAGGCAGAGCTTCACTATTTTAATTCGCTGTTTATTTTCTTTCTGCTGTTAAGTCTCCTTGGTGTCATATTTTCCATCCCGCAGCCCGTGGAGATGGAGGCGCGGGCACTCCCTGCCCTCCGAGCTTGTGACGAGGCAAAAACCGGGGAGAGGGAGGAGGGAAATGGAGAGGGAAACTTCTCCGGCTGGGATAAGGGATGAGGGAGCAGGGACTGTGACTTGGGTGGAGACAGGAGGAGAAGAAAACAACCCGCTGGCCTGGGAAAGACTTCCCGAAGGGGAAGGGGAAAACGCTAAGGACCAGGAGAAGGGCAGAGAGGGAGGAGGAAGAAAAGGAGGAAGAGGAGAAGGTGATGGAGGAGGGGGGGAGAGAAGGAAAATAAGGGGAAGAGAAGGAAAAGGAGAAAACGGAGGAAGAGGAGGAGGAGTAGGCGAAGGAGGGAAAGGAGAAAGAGGAAGAGGGGGAGAAGAAAAAGTGGGTGAAGAGAAGGAAAAGGAGGGGGAAGAGAAGGAGAAGGGGGAGCAGGAGGAGAAGAAGAAGGAGGAGAGGAGGAGGAGGAGAGAAAGAGGGAGAAGGAGGAGGGGGGGAAAGGGGGAGGAGGAAGAGAAGGAGGAGGAGAGGGAAAAGAAGAAAAAGGAGGAGGAGGAGAAGAAAAAGGAGGAGGGGGAAGAGGAAGAGGAGGAGAAGCAGGAGGAGGAAGAGGAGGGCTGCCAGCGGAGGGATCCGGTGCCGGGGCGGAGCGGCCGGAGGTACGAACCCCCGGAGGCACCGGGGAGGGGCGAGCTGAGCCCAACCCAGCCCAGCCCAGGCTCCGAGCCCAGCCCAGCTCAGTCCAGCCCAGCCCGGCCCGGCTCGGCGCAGGCTCTGCCGGGACGCGCCGCTCCCGCCTCGCAGCAGCCGCAGCAGCGCAGCGGGGCCATCCCCGGGCCGGCAGGGGAGAAGGGGCCGCGGCGAGGCTTGGCCGTGTGCGGGAGGCGGAGCGGCGGGCGATGGAGCCCCGGGCCTGAGGGGCCGGCCCGGCCGCCCCCTTGGCGGGCGAGCCCCGGGCGGGGGTCGGGGCGGGCGGGCAGCGGGACATGGGCCCGGCCGCGGGCGGGGAGCGCCGCCCGCCCCCCCTGCGCTGAGCGCTCCTGCCCCGGCTCGGCCGCTGCTTTTTCCTCCCCCCTCGGCGGAGAACACCAAGATTTTTTTTTTTTTTTCCCTTTTCTTATTTTTTCTTTGTATTTTTTCCCCCCCTGGATATTCTGCGCGACTGCAAAGAAGAGTTTTGTGGATTTTTTTGTTTGTCTGTTTGTTTGTTTGGGTTTTTGTTTGTTTGTTTGTTTTGTTTTCCTCCTCTCCTGCCCTTGAACCGGGTTTGCCCCTCCTGTGCGTGCCTCTTTCTCCCGGAGCTAAGGCTGGATCCTGGAACCTCAGCGAGGGGCGAAGCCTCGTTCGTACTCCCGCAGTAAATGAGTAAAATGTAAATTGGATAATACGACCTCTTGCCAAAGGCTCCAATGAGTGGCACACAGTCCACAATCACGGACAGGTCAGTATAAAATGAAATTTCTTTGGCTTTCGTCTTTTCTGAAGTCCAGGCTATTTGCAGAGCTCCCGCTTTCTGAGCTCATTGATAAAAAGAATGAGAAAAGCAGGGTTAAATCTGAGTTTCTGGGAGCCTGTCTGTACCCACGGTTGTCTGACTGTCAAAGCGACTGGGTTGGCTTTGAAACCGGAGTATTTCAAGTCCAGCAGCTTTCAAGCCTGCCAGGCTGACTTTGTAGGAACCACGGGTTGTCACGCAGCTCCCAGGATGGGCTGGTGGCTGGGAGGAACACCAGAGTAATTCCTGCAAGGAGTTAAAGCAGGAGAGGCGACAGGAGTTGAGGATTCAGCTCGAGTGTGAACTCAGAAACCTTGTGCAGGATGCACTTGGGTCTCCTTGGGTCAAGCACTGCTGGGAGGTCACTTCAGGTGAGGCAGGAGGGATAGTTGTGGAGCAGGAATGTCTGCTGGTGTCTCCCTTGGTTTAAATTGTCCTGGCTTTAGATACCTGCTCGGGCCTCTGGGCTGCTCTGCAGGTGCTCCACGGGCCTTTTATTACAGCCTGGAGTTCTCCTGCTTGAGCTGGGATGTTTCAGAGCCAGGGAGGAAAACGTGGGGTTTGTTGTGACAAAAAAACTCAAGTAGGAAGCCTCTTCTTATGCTTTTGAGATGAATGAGTGGAATGAGTGCCTTCATTTGATGAGAGAAGAAGATACACCTTTTTTTTTTTTTTTTTTTTTTTTTTCCCCAACTTATAATGTCAGAAATGTTCATGTATTTTATTATATTCTTGCTGTGGATCTTTGGTGGTTAAGGCATGAATGTGTGTGACAAAGACCTTGCTTTGGCCTTTCATGACCCAGCAGAGAGTCCAGAGCTGGGACAGAGGAATGATGCTTTTGGCTGCCTGAGCTCACCCTATAGACTCAATTATGCTCAGGAAAGAGTGAGTGTAGTTCTCACACTTTCATGACTCCATGGATCAGCTCAGAATTGTGTAGAGTCTGTGTTTATGACTGTTCATAGAAGATTAAATCTTTGTAATTAATTGTGTAGCTGTCACAGAGCAGGTGACAGAAGAAAACTAAATTTTTCGTCTTTTGCTGTGCATCAGTGGTTGTTGAGTTGCAGGACGTTTTTTCTCTGTACCAGACAAGACAATGACACTCAAAAGGCATTTCAGTGGCTTTGTGAGGATTTTGTTACATTCTTAAGACCATATGTTTTATGGCAGTTTCATGATATCAAAAGGAACGACAGGATTTTCATGCCGAGAAGCAGCAGAGTGATGCATGGAAAAGAAAAGCACGAGAACAGGGAATTTAATTTACTTGTTAGTAAAACAAAATACTTTCCATTATTGAATTGGAACAGCCAAATTGAAAATGTAGCGGAGACCAAAAAAAAAAAAAAAGTCTCATTTCCTTTTGCTCTCAGTCATGTCAGGAGGATGTTTCTGTTTGATGCTCCATTAAGGGTCTGGTTTAAAAGGCTTTTAATGTCAGGTGAGGAGCTGTGTCTCCACAGCCCTGGCAGCCAGAGCTTTCTGGAAGTGTCCCAGGCCAGGTTGGATGGGGCTTGGAGCAACCTGGGCTGGTGGAAGGTGTCCCTGCCCATGGCAAGGAGTTGGAGAGAGATGGTCTTTAAGGTCCCTTCCAAACCCAGTCGTTCTGGGATTCTGTGATGATTGTATGATTTATTCCCTGCCTGCACCTTTCAGCAGAACCCCAGGCAGGGTGGTGGTGTTTTCTCATCTCTGCCCCTCCTCTTTGTCTGCACTGTGCAGGACCTGGAGGGGGTGTCTTTTGGTCACTGTTGTCCCACAGTGAAATGGTGAAATGCTTCCTTTCCCATTAGGCCCAAGAAGCCTCTGGGTTGCCTCTTCCAGTCCTAAGCTTGGAATGTAAAGCAGGTGCAATAGAAATAATCTCAATGCTTCCAGTGTCGTTAGATCTGCGTGGTGGAAATCAGATGACACGTTCAGTCCCCTCTGTATCTATCAGCGACCATTCTTTGTGGGATCCAGTTGGGAACTGCCTTAAAACAGGAAAACCCCAGCTGGCATCTGTGCCAGATGGCATTAGGAATATAATAGGGTGGCATGGGCCTGCATTTTTCTCCATATTAGCTGTACATATTTGCATGTTGCATATGTAGAGCTGCCCAAATCCGTGCTACAGACAGCAGATACTTCCTTTGGTATCCCCTCAGTTTAAGGTGGTAATTGTGCTGTGATTTGACAGCTGTCAGACATTTCCCTTGTGCAAGTTGGCACTTCGCTCATCCTTGACATGTTTTATGTCTTCTATGTTTTTGTTGATGATATCATGTATGGCATTAAAGTATATAAATTAGGAGTGTATGAATGGCCATTTCTGGTGCTGTTCTGTAGCTAGTGTGATAAATGATGTTTTCCTTAAATCCCCTCCCTTTTTTTTAAATTTCCTTTTATTTTGCTCCCTTTCCCAGGAAAGTTAAATGGATTTTAGTGTCTGGCACTCTGCTGAAACACAGGCCAGTTCATATCTGCTGATAATTCCCTCTGTGGACCAAACCTTAACCCAGTTAATTTGGGTGATGGTTATGCTCCATCCCTGAGCTGGATTCTGTCATCCAGCTGCCTCCAAAGCAACAGGATTTTCTTCAAGTGTTCTTTTCTTAAAATGTCTTAGGCCTGGAGGGAAGTGAGTGCCTGGGGGAATGGGGGAATACCAGGCATTAAACAAAAAGGCAGAACAGATGTTAAAACTCCTGAGAGTGTAATGGCTGGTCAGAGTTACTGAAGAAGCTTCTGACACACACTGTGCCCCATCAGCTCCTCAGCATTTGGAGAAACACCTCAAGGGAGCGGGTAAAGTAAAGATTAGCTCGTAATAGAGTAGAAACACATCTGCAGAACCGTGTCCAGGATGTGCCTCGCATGGCTTCTGATGGTTTGAGAGCGTCAGAACTTTAAACAGTGACCTAAACTTCCCCTTCTTTGTCTCAGGATGTTCTTTTACTATGTCAGCTGCTTCTTTTTTCATAAAAAAATGCCCGGTGGACCATATCAAACCCATCTCCAGCCTTATTGCTCTTCTCCTTTATGTTTGTAAACATATACACCCTCTCCGCTTAATCCTCTCTTAGCTATGCCGTGTTTATTTAGAGGCCTCCTGAGGTGGCATTTATCTTGCTTAGCCTAGTAAGCCTTTGAGGTAGAACATCTCTGAGCTGCTCACCAGGACTGACTCGATAGTGGAAGGAACCCAGCACATGGAGGGGACCATTTCTTATCCCAAGGCGGGGATCTGAAAGTGGGCAGGTGACTGACAAACTGCCTTCTGCTCTTCACTCCTGTCTGGATTGGAGTGAGACTTGCCACACCTTTTAGCCTGAAAAATGTGATTTTTTTTTTTTGCCTAGTTGCTGGTGCTGGGTTGGGTTTTTGTTGCTGGATGGTTTTGGGGAGCCGTCATCGGAGGATTTTGGAGTGTGGAGACTGGATCGCAAGACCTGTCTGAGGGTGCTCGATGGCCGGGCAGGGTTTGCTGGAGGAGTTTCCCTGTTCCCTCAGTGCTTCTGCAGCGAGTGTGCCCGCATTCCCTCCCTCTGGAGTTTTCCTGGACACGGCTCTGGGCGTTGCTGCTGTGCCGTTTGTGGCCGGGGACACATGGCCGGGCCAGATAAGGCCTTTATTCTTCCCAAGGCCACGCCGGGGCCGGGATGAAACCCGGCCATTTGCAGGCTCTGCTTGGCCACCGAGGGCTGCTCCGAGCTGGGCTGTATCCTGTTATGACACTAAAGAAACATTTGTATGCCATTAATTCTCTCTTTTTTTTTTTTTTTTTTTTTTTTTTTTGCTCTCGTAGCTCACTGTATTTTTCTTCCTGTAACCGTTCCAAACTCACTTCAGAGTTGAGCAATTGCACGGCTGCGGGACTGGCTTTATGTTTTCTTTTCTGTTTATTAAAGCCCAATAAAAGAAAAGGAGGCTCTTGCTTTCGCAGGACCTCGCCGAGGAACTCGGTGACTCTTCCTTTGCACTTGCTTGCAAATGAGTTTTATTTATAACCGTGCTGTAGTTTCTGTTGCTATGATTGGAAAACAGCAGAGGTAGAATTTACACATAATTACCCTTGAGAAGTTTTAATTGGTGATTTGCTCCTGACTTGGTACTAAAATAGACCCTAATTGTTTCTTATCTGCTTAGATGCACTTTCCCTGTCTTTGGCTGTTTGGAAGTCCCTGTAGTAAATGGGAATTCTTTAACCGTGTGGTGGGGAAAAAAAAAGTTTTCTTTTTTTCCAGCAGAGAGAGAACTTCACAGAAAGTCCTACCTTAGTGTTACTGAGTAGTTAGATGCTATTATCATGCATTTATTTAATTAATATTGAGTTTGTAAGACCCAATATTTATGGAAAATGGGCTGCAGCACGACATCTAAGGACTAAAAAGCATAACAATCTTTAAGGCAAATCATCTTGTGCTTTCCATCATTGTGCCTTCACTGAGTTTGGAAACGAGTAGTTGACATAGTCTGTGCATAAATCCGTTTTTTCTTTGGCTTTGGTCATGGCTGTCACAAGAGAGGGCTGTCTGGGATGTTTACTGCTGGCCAGGAAGCAAATGCTACCAGTTCATGCTGCATAGTTTATTAGGGTTTTTACTGGAGACAGGAGCTGAGGTGAGCTTGATTTTCTAGTTTTGAGTAGAGCTGTGGGCGTTGTGATTATTTGGGTGGAGGCAGGAATGATATTTCATCTCTTAGCCCAATTGTATAATTCTCCCCGTGCACATAGCTCCTGTTATGGCAGTTCTGAACGTTTCCAGTGGATGGGTTAGGAAGGGGACTGGGAAGAAAAGTGCATCCTGCCTTTCGAGCAGGAGTTGCTGAGGTCACTGGTGAGCTTTGTGGGTGTTCATTGGTGATCTCCGACTCCCATGACCTGTGTGGGACGAGAGTTTCGTGGTCCTTGAGGGTGGCAGCAGCGACCACAGTCCTGCAGGAAATCAAAGAGAGGT